TAAACCATATACCAGATGAAGTTGATCCTAGTATGACATAAATCAATACAAAATGCTTTTTAGTAGACGATCAACTTAAGACTTACTTCAATTGGCAGTAAAACACCACCTTCATAATTAGTTTTAACCTCCTATATCCTTCCAATTCACTTCATAATTTCTCCTATTTGAAGACATCTATTGAACAAAATGACATTACTAGTACACAAATACATTCTTAAACATTATGTCTGAATCACGAAATATCCATCATATACACTTGATTGGCCTAAAATGTGCCCACCGTGGGGTACACATAACAAACATTAAAAAGCTAATAACTTTAAAACCCTTCCTTATTTAATCAAAATGCCAAGTTTAGTACATGCAGACTCGTACAGATCACATCTTTTCAAAAATTCAAAGTAATTCTATGGCTAGTTTTAAAGAAAATGTGCCCACAAGGTGTTAAAAGACATAAATTTATATCTTTGTGAGTATTGTTGGAGATGATAGCACGCAATTCATATGTACTTAGTTTTTTAATACAATACCAGTTACCTAGGAAACACAGTGAAGCAACAATTGGATCCAAATCTGTCCGAGATAAAACACTAACTGACGATAACTACCAACTCCTAGCCGCCATGTCCCGAAAAGAGCCTTTGACTAACAGGAAGTGACGTTTCAGGAGTTTTTAATATTGGCTTCCTGTGATGTTTCCAATCCATGTAGGCTTACGTATAATATCTATGCAGCAACTAAGCTGTCATCCAAAATCTTCTCTAGCAGGAAGGAAGGTCATACAACATAGCAATAGAGTCACTCGTGAGCTAAGCCCCTTTAAATTTTTTTACATTGTTTTAGTAATTATAATTATGAGTGGGGCGAGCTTAAGCGCTTAGTCAGATCATAGATATACAAACACAATGTTTGTATATCTATGGTCAGATCTCGCGCGACCATTATTTGGCGGATTGGGTTGGCGGCGAGACTTGGCGAGCCCAATAATTGAACCATAGATAATCTTCTAGAAAGTCCCGAAATATTTTCTCCGTGTCTATCTCCTTATCAGCTAGGATGGAATACTTCAGCAACAATGAGTCTTCATCTAGTAATGCTACTTGCTCCTATGATACCAATCTCTATGTGCAAATCACTGGATCTATACTCTTTGTCATAGTGTGGCCATTTGTTGTTCTTGATATGAAATGGTTTCCTCTTGGAAGGCCTGCTGCTGCATTAGTTGGAGCTGCCTTTATGGTATTGTTTCAAATTGTTTCTCAAAGTGATGTGTATGCAATTCAAGGGCATCAAGATAATTTGCAGACAGTGTTTCTCCTGGTTGGGATGATGATGCTGTCTCATTACTATGATCGTGAAGGTATTCTGAGAGTAGTTATGCTCAAAATATTTGGTAAGAACAAGCCATTTCGATCAATACTCTGGAAAGTTTGCTTGATGTCTGCCATCCTCTCTGCATTCATTACAAATGACGCTGCCTGTCTTGTTGTTACACCTCTCATTCTCAGGGAATTCATCAAGCAAAAACGTGACCGTTGGGAGCTGCTACCATTGTGTCTTGGTATAGCAACATCAGCCAACATTGGGAGCGCTGCTACAATATTTGGCAATCCACAGAATGCTTTCATAGCTTCAACAGCTAGGGTATCTTTGCTTGAATTTTTTATAGCAGAGCTGCCAGCAGCTATACTCGGTTTGATAATCAATGTCGTGCTAATATACTTGTTTATGCTAATTCGTATGAAAATGAGAAAAGAAGAAGAGAATCATCTAAATTCTGAGGCTCAAAGTTCTAGGATTGCAGCACGCTCACGAAATACTTCTATTGCCAGTGAAAGAGAAGCTACAGTACAAAGTTATGAAGACCCTCAAGTTAGGAATGAATCATTAACTCTCTCTATCTCAGGGGAACATGAAGCAACAGCAATGAGCTATGATCAAAGTGGGAATGGAGCTACACGTTTCAAAACAAATGCTATTAATCACAGTAATAGTATGCTTGTACAACTGCAGCAATCTTCTGGTGAAACATTACCAGAGGATGTTCAAGTTAATGATTCAGTAAACAATGATGATGAGGACAAAGCACCAGCTGAAAAAACAAGGTTCCAAATCATTCGTCGCAAAATATTTCTGGTTTGGCTCGTGTTCGTTACACTTCTAATGGTTGTGTTACTTGCTATACCTAATCAAATTGCCGACTTCAATCTTGGTTGCATTCCTTTGGCTGCCAGCATTTTTACAATGCTGATGGACACAATTCTCAATCGTAAGTACGCATATGATGTAATGGTCAAAATTGATTGGACAGTCA